TAATACAATTATCACATGTGGCATGTCCAAAAATAATAACAGTGCGATGTCGATATCAATTGCAAAAATAATACATAAAAGTAAGGATATTTTGTTTCATCATAATTTCACAATTTCCACGAAAACCGGACAAATTAATAATTAATCCGGACCATGAATTTAAAAACCGGCCTGGTGGCAAACTATTAGTGCAACTTTCAGTAAAAGTATGAACGCAGAAAAAGAAATGATGTAAAATCATCATCTTTATCTTCGCCTTTTCCCATGTTTATATGGGGTCGGTGTTTCCTTCTCTAATACTTTTTTCTATTTCTTCCTATCAAGGATTTCTTCTCTCTTAAATCCCCCCTGGTTCAAGTCTTCTTCCACCTTATCTTTCCAACGAATCTTTGGTCTTCCTCTTTCCTTTTACTACCAGTTTTCCGATCTTCTTTCCAACATAATTGTCACTTCTTCTCTCTACGTAGACAAACCTCCTCAACCTACATTCTTGCATCTTTTTGCTCAAAGGGCCCACCTTAACAGAACCTCTAATAAAATCATTCCTTACTCCATCCTTTCTTGACACTCCACACATCCATCTCAACATTCTCATCTCCGCCACCTCCATCTTTATTTCTTCGGTTCTTATTATTGCCCATGTCTCAGCTCCATATCAGTTGTTAGACCTGCAATGTTATCATTGCAGGTCTAACTGATTTATACAATTTTCCTTTCAGATTGCAGCTAACTTTCTTGTCGCATAACACACTGCTCAGCTTCCTCCAGTTCATCCATCCACATTGAATTCTATGCTGCACCTCCGAGTTCAATCCTCCTCCCATCTCGACAAATGTCCCAAGATATTTAAAATTCGGAACAAAAAGGAAGCGGTGCATTTTGGATTTTAATATTACATGAATCTCTACCATTCAGTCATATAAGCTGTTTTAGTTCTGCTAATCTTTATGCTCCTTTCTTCCAAACTTTCCTCCAATTTTCCAGTTTCTTCTCAGCCTTGGTTTGGGAAAGTTCACACAGCACAATATCATCTGCAAACAGCATACTCCACGGAGCATCACACTTCACGTCACACACCAACCCGTCCATTATCAGGTCAAACAAATAAGGGCTATGGGCCGATCTCTGATGCAAACCAACATTAACGAAGAACCCTTCTGTAGTGCCCACACTACTATTAACTCGGGTCTCTGCTCCCTCGTACATTTCCTTGACAAGCCTAACATATTTTTCTGGAACATTCTTTTCCCTCAAACATCTCCATATCCCTTGCTTTGGTACCCTATCATACGCCTTTTCTAGATCTATGTGCAAATCTTCCTGCATTTCCTTGTGCCTTTCCATCAGCTGTTTTAGAGCAAAGATAGCATCTTTGCTCCTTCCTATCAAAAAGCCAAACTGTTCCTCTTCAATCTCAGATTCCTGCCTAATCCTTCTTACTACAATTTTCTCCCAAATCTTCATAGTATGGGACAATATCTTTATACCTCTGTAATCTCTGCAATTCTGTACATCCCGTTTACCTTTAAAGATCAACACAAGAATGCTCTTCCTCCATTCATCAGGGATCTTCTCCTGCTGCCAGAGTTTCTTCATAAGGTCCCAGAGGATATCAATTCTTTCCTTATCCAAAACTCTCCAAGCCTCAACCAAAATCCGATCAGTGTCTACTGCTTTCCCCATCTTCATTTTCCTAAGCACACTCTCCACTGCTAATATTTTGCACCACTCCTTCATTTGCATCTCCATTCTCGTATAAAGTTCTGGGGTTTTCTTCATTCAATAAATTCCTGAAATATACTTTCCATCTTTCTTGACCCTTTCGTAATTTTGTAATACCACTCCTTTATCATCTTTAATCAGTTTAATAGAGGTAAAATCTTTTGATGCCTTATCTCTTGCTTTGGCAATTCTCATCGACTATCTTTCACCATCTTTCCTTTCGAAAATTTTATAAGCCTCTTCTAAAGCCTTTGTTTTCGCAATAGCCACCGCTTTTTTAGTCATTTTATTTGCCAAATGGCAAGTTTCTTTATCTTCAGGCCTTCCCATCAAATCCCACCTTTTCTTTGCCTCTTTCTTTTGTTTAACTGCGGATTGTACTGTACCTCAGCATTTCACCACCAAAATTCTTTTCCTTCTGGTGATCTCTTCCCTGAAGTTTTTCCCAAAACCTCTTCTCCAACTTTCAAAATGCAATTACTATTCAGCAACCATCATGTTTGCACATCATCCGGGAACAGGATTTCTTTTAACACTTTTACCTTAAACGCTGGTCAAATTTACAATGTTTACAAATTTTCGTTTTTTACACTTTTGGCGCCCAACTCGGTACGCCAATTACATTAACAAAGTTCAAATAGTTCAATATGCTGATTTTGGTTTGTCGAGAAGACACCTTACGATACATCGACGCATTGTGGCTAGAAGTACTCTCCTTCTGGAGGTTGAAGAACAAACGAGACGAATCCAGACTTGATTCGACCACTAATGTACAGTATACTTTAAGTTCCAAACCGAACTTAGACGAAACTGATGTACTGTACTATACTGTATATCCTGAAGTTCCGATCGTCGATAAAGTTTATTGAACGCCTCAATCGGTAATGTGAGGTCAGCCGATTAGGGTGAAGGTTTTTCGACAGCCGAGCGGTTCTTTCTGTCGTGTGGGCGCAGAATGACTTTCTGAGACAGGTTTACCATTTTTAACCCGTTTATTATATTACAAAAGATTCTTACAACGTTCTTCAAATTTTCAATGTAACACAGCTCGGGGAACAAATTAAAAGTTCCTTCAAGGGTCCGACTTTCTCCGTTTGGTCCTTCGATGTCGTACGTTGAGATCGACGGCCCCGGGGCGTGCGGCACAGCTTCGGCGAAAGTCTCTGGTGAAAGGCAAATCCGTGCAAATCACGACGTCACGGGAGAGCGACAGTAAGTCACAGGAGTTGACGCCTCGGTCGCTGTTGATACGTAGGATCACAAAAATCCTGAAGAGGAGCACCAAGAACCAAGAAGAACCTTTGTCCCTTGAGTCGCACGGTTTTATAGATTTCTTAACCGTCGTCGCCTCTCCATTGATCTCTCATAGTCACCTGGTGACAATTCGAAACCTAATGAAAGGCGCGGGAGAGGTCAACGTTGCGACTGAATATGATTCCTCTCTCTCGTCGCGTTTTCCTCGAATTTATCCGTTTCCATTATTTAACAAATTTACGAAAAAAACAATTGCATTGTTCATTCGAGACACCTAATCCGTTTCCTTAGCGTCTGAAAAGGAGCTCTTTATTTTAAATCGACACCCATAATTCGGACCTCTTAGTCGACCCCTGTTCGGGTCCTCACAGTAACACCGATCTGGCATTCGGTACACTCTACTTTTGTACAGCACCCCTATCGGGTGGGAGACAAGTCGTCCAACCACGTACTAAACAACTAGTGACCTATCGCAAAACATGGCCATCCTCGCCTGGCCCGATGACCAGGCTCGGCATACGGACTTTCCGACGTTCCCGTAAGGAATTGAACTTAAGCCGAATTTAACTTTCTCGCTTCGACAATAACCTTGCTATATCGTCGACAGCGGACTCGACGACCAATCAGTGCTTCCCGAGCTGTAACACTATGCAAATATCGTATGGCGTGATTCCCGGTCGACCAATCAGCGATTACCAGTTGTAACGCTATGCAAATATGTGATACCCGTTCAATCAGCTACAGTAGACCCCCCTATAACGCGGTAGATACGTTCCACGTTATACGAATTTCGCGTTGTAAGAATCCTTAAATACATGAGCCAATCGCAGCCCGACACGTGTGCAGTTTAGGGACTACGGCTGTTTGAAAGGTTTTCTTCCATAAAATTAATCGATTCTTGACTAATTCGACTCAACATTTCCAAAACACGTATATTTTTTGGGAATAATCCGTATAAACTATGCTATAAACAAAAAATTGTAGGATTACTTACCGAGTGTGCACCGTTCGACGTCGCCATTGCTTAAGCTCGTTTTCGTCGCGGAGCAGCGCACCAAACGGCGGCCGCGATTTCTGATAAGTTATTTTTCTGCGAGTTGAACTTTGGAGACATCATTAATAGAAATAATTTTTATGGCCGTTGAATAAGAAATGTTTCTTTCACAAGAAATGTATAAAATTACAGTGCTGTATTAGAGTTACGGTACCTAATTTACATACTGTACAGACGAAGTAAACTCAACTTACCCGTCTAAACTCTCTGTAGCGTGTAAGTAGTTCGGCTGCTCGTCTACTATTGATCCAGATTCGACCAATCCTATCGCGACCCGAGTCGGCGATGACGTTTTACCGCGTTTTACGCGTCCCTTTTAGCGTCTTTATACGAATACTGTCGCAATTTTTTCGCCGTGTTATAGGAACCCGCGTTATAGGGGTCTACTGTATTACCGAGCCATAGCCTTATGCGAATCATGCCGTGTGGCGTGTTATCTGCTGACCAATCAGCGGCCGCATATTCAAAAATCCAACGGCCATTTTCAACCGTCGGTCGACGACCGTTACTAGTTCAAAAAAAAAAAAAAAAAAGAAAAAAACTGGAATCGTGTCTTTACACGATCCAACCCCGACACCTCCCTTGCCGAGGATCAAACTGAGCTCAATTGATCCTGTTTAATACCCTACACATTACCGTGGAAATCTTACATAACATAGTTGTCCGATACGATCGGACTGACCCTTCTTCCGGAACATCCGGAAAAAATCTCGCATTACGCAGAGATGCCTGCGGAACCCGATATGGCGCAATCCGCCTAGTGCCCACACGTATTTTTAGAGTTAACTTTATTGAAATGTTTTAACATAAAGAGCAACGGTTATGAATTATACTCGATATTTTATCATTTTTAAAACAAATTACTATACTATATTAAATTATTTTAATAATATTTTTAATTACGGTAATAATGCACTTTACTTATTCATTTATTAAGTTTATATATATATATATTTTTTTTTACTTACAGAAGTCCTCCGAGATCCATCCTTTATTACCATTCAATATACTTTAGGAAGATTAGGAAATCAAATGGGGACTTATGCAGCATTATTTGGATTAGCAGATTTAAATAACAGAACACCATATGGGTTTCACTATGTGATGAATTACCTCAGGCCTTATTTTCGTGTTACTGCTGGTGAAATTTATAATGTCCCAAGTTATATGAAGAGAGAATATGCTTTAAGAACTTATTTGTATCCAGAAGATAAACATATACCAGCCGACAGAAATTTTCTAGGTGGATATCAGTATCCTTATTCTTATACATTTTTTCATCATGCTAGGCATAAAATATTGAAAGAATTTCAATTTCATGATCATATCACGTCTTATGCTTTTTCTATTTTGAAATCCTATAAAGAAAAACGTCCAACAGCACTGTTGATTGGTGTCCATGTCAGAAGATCAGATTATTGCTCATGGTTAAGACATTATAATGGAAGGGAAGTTGATTTAAAGTATTTCGAAAAAGCTATGCTGTATTTTAAGAGAAAATACCACGATGTTATTTTTGTAGTAGTCAGTGACGATAGGACATGGTGTAGAAAAAATTTGGGCCATTTACCTGATGTTGCTATACCACCGGAACCTGAAAAACCTATATACGATATGGCTACTTTAGCTTTATGTAATCATACCATTATGACTTATGGAACATTTGGATTTTGGTCTGCATATTTGGCTGGTGGCGAAACTGTATATTTTGCTGATTATTTAGCACCAAATTCGTCTTTTTTATTGCATCACATGCCTTACAATAAAACATATTTACCGAACTGGATAGGTATATCTACTACAAAACCTGATTATTGGAACACTTTCAATTTCGATACAAAAACGAAGTTTTGCCCGTGATAAAAGCTAAGCAGTGTAGAAGTAATTTAATTACAAATTCTTACAAATGTTTAATTATTAATTCTTAAAAATTTTTAACTGTGTGAACAAGAACTTAATGGCCTAAATATAAAATGCAATGTTAGAAAGTCAGTTTAATTTTACATATGGGTACCAAAGGAACGGCAAAGTGAAGATGAATTTCAAAGGGGAGTGACTATTTGTATAACGAAAACGTGACATCACTAGTAACTATGCTAATCTATAAAGATATAAAGTGTGTATATTTGATGGGTTTGATATATTTTAAATTTAATTTGTACAACCTATTTATTCTTAATCTCAAAATTCTTAGAAATACATTTGTTTTTTTTTTCACATGAGAGCATGTTTAATAATAAAACAATTTATAAAACAAGACCGCACAGGTCAAGGAGTAGAACGGAGAGAAAATCCAGATTGAAAAAGTTGTTGCCAAAAGACACGACACCATCCCTCGCACAAATACCTCTGCAGAATTAAGCACAATCCGAATTTCATTACACTGCACTGTATTTTACTACATATATGTAAAATTTAGCTGAATTTTTTTAAAAGAATTTTTTCTCATAACATATGTAATTTTTCATTACAAATTTCATTTGATTATAAGTTATTTATATTGGATTTCACCAATGGATCTCCGAAATGGATATCCCTAATTTTAATATACTTCAATGGCAGCTGGATGGCCGAGAAGTTAAAGATATCAGCCTACAGCTCTGAGGAACCTGGGATAAAGTTCGGACGGAGAACCGCAGGATATTCTCATGGACAGACTGTTCCGGATATGTCAGGGCCCGTTCTTCATTTTGCTAGGCCCATAATGGGGAGGGCCCATTGTGGATCTATCTGAACCCATAGTGGGCTTAGAAAAGAGGCCCTCTTTTTCCTATAGGGTAGAAAGAGCTGAAAATGGAAAAAAAGGTTTTAATTTGCTTCTGGAATGCAGCTCACATTTTAAATCATGATTGTTCTATATACTGTAATGTTATACGATATATTGTATTTTGATATATTTATTGTAATTTACAATGATTGATAATAAACACAGACGAAATTTAATAAATTAAACAATGAATCAATTTTTATATAAAGAACTTTTCTTTCCTATTTTCTAAATTTTACTGCACTGTATATATAAAACTTTTTTCGAATTTCACAATGAATTTAATTTCATTGTTTTAAATTAGTTTTTCTTCATTTGTTTTTCAAAATAATTTTTCATTCAAAACATTTAACGTTTAAATACACGTAAAAGTGTACAATTTATTAATTAGGGTTTTTAAAATTTGATGAAAACTGTTTCCGGTTTCGGTACTTTTGAAATATAAATAATTACTACGTTATTTTAAACTTTTAATCTAGATTAAGTCAAAAGTAATAGGATCATATACATATTCATTAAATTGAAACATTTTTATATTTTAACGATTTAATTATTAAGCATTTTTTGAAAAGTTTTAAAAATAGATATAAAATTACATAGAAGATGAAACTTTTTATGTAGGATATCTGTTCTGATTTGACCTTAAGCAAATGTAACACATACAGAAGCTTTTTGTTTCCTAAGAGAATTGATTTCATTCGAATCATTTCTGTTTGCGACTTCCAGATTTCAAACCTTTAAAGTTTCTTAAAGATTGCAGATTCCAATCTCACAGCTAAGTCCAAGCACTTGTAATTGGATGGTTCATCCAACAAATTTTCTTTCTATGCTGAGATATACTGAAATTTGTACCACGCTGAAACACGTGTCTGAATGCAAAAGGCGATTTCCTATAGCAGATGAAGCAACTTTGTCTCCATGTTGTATATTCTGTAGTACTGCTATAGCGATCAGTGGCGCTATATGTGTTTACGATCCGGTCTACGTTTCATTTGAATAACCCTTATAATAATTCTGCCCTCAGTATGAACGACTTTGCATCGCTTTGAAGATGCCGCCATCCAGCCGTTGTAAAACGTTCACCACCATAATCATCTAACATTCTAACAATGCACAATGAAATAGCTCGTTTACTACGTCATGCATTCTTTTGGGAGCTCAAGTTATCGTATTCGTACAGTAAGATCAAACTTGGGCGGATGGAACAGATGGAACCGCATCGATTTCACCTGCGAACCTACTCCATCCGCTGTACGCATATTTGGACGCATTGCAATGGCGAATCGAACAGAAAAGAAAGTGTCCAGACAAGGCATTATTTTCGGTTTGAGTAAAACTCATACAGGGCACAGTGGGGCCAAATCCGAAAAAGCTGGACAAAAGTCAAAAGCGTTATCAATTTGGCTGAAAGTCAGTATTCGAGGGTTTTCGGGATCGCTGATTACGAATCGGAAGTCAAAATTTGAAATAAAAACAAAATGACGAATTTAACACGAACCACTTTTATAGAAAAAGTACAAAATAAATCCATATATTGTTTAATACGATAAAACATAAATCAGTTGATTAAAAGTTCATGCATTGTCATTCAAAGAATAATTTAATTCACAATCAGATGATTCAACTCTGAAATCGCTGGAGCTTCCTGTACTTGCTGGTATACGTGGCACAACTAACAATTAAACTGCTTCTGGGAGCAACGAGTTTGAGTTTTTTCGAGATAATTCGCACTAACTCGAAATAAACGGATCAGATAATAATAATAGGCGTAAAATAATGTCTTCCACTGTTTTCACTCGGGAACTTTTCTTGCAAAATCTTCTCGAAACTTTTTAATGTATTTATTAGTAGAGTCTTGAGCGTCTTCAGACATCTGTCCTATCGGCAATACCGATGAATTTATCACTTCTGCACCATGAATCAATATCTTATGTGCCGAAGTTGGCATGCAGAACCACGGATATAACTGCACAAAGTAACGAGCTGTCTGTAAGGCATAATCTTGAAATTCTATGAAATCGATTTCGTGGCCACACGAAATTGTCTGCAATATGACATGGAAACGCTTAATTAATCAAGTTCTCATCAACCCCTGTAATAGCAGCAGAAATGCTTGAGTTTTCGAAAAATCGTCGAGCGGTATTCGCATCATTCGAGCTACCGAAACCAGGCTTTGGTTGATCGACTATTAGACCCAATTCTATACGGAAACCCTTCTGTATATTCGTTTTTCAGAATCTTATTTCTTTATTTTCTTTATCACTATGCGCTTGCCACAGTTTGATTTCAAGCTTATATGCTACATGCAAACAATATTCAAAACACCAGACAAATTCAAGAAAAAGAGCAAAACATTCCGCGTCATTAATGTACAAAATTCAGAAAACTATGTTTTACATTGCAAGAACTCGCACCAATGACACAGTTGCAGCTAGTTGCAGCTAGTTTTAATTTTTTTCATTCAATAATAGTTCGATCTACAACATGCGATCGGTCCAGTTTTTCTCTACATGTTTAAAATTTTCTGTTGTAATCTTCCGTTCATTTTCGTACAAATCATTCGTTTACTGTTATCACATAAAGTATTATTATCAATTTTGTGTTACATAATGATATTCTACTTACTTGCAGCTGCAAATTCCATTTTTTAAATTTAAATTCGATTGATTTTTAGAGATTTGGCACCCTCTTGAATATAGCGTAGAAATTTTTGCTTACTGCATGACGCATCCAGCTCGATTGAGGGTCCCCTTTCAACTAAACTACAATAGCAGGTATAAGGGATAGGGGGCGCTAAAGTCTATAATTCGACCTTCGGACTCTTATTTAACCGAACCCACGACTAGAAATTACCGGAACTTAAACTCTATTTTTCGACTTTTGGCCAGCTTTTTGGGATTTGGTCCCACTGTGCAGGGCCGTCAACAGGAAGAGGATTGGGGATTTTTCCCGGGTCCGGAGAAAATTCAAAAATCGGCAGTGGTTCCTATTCCCATAATTAAATGTTATATTTACTTACAAAAAATAAAATTGTTTAAGACTGCTTTTACTAATAAAAAAGCATTCAACGTATTTCATCTGTTCAAAGAAAACATGGCGAAAGGGACCCGCTTTTACTCGGGTCTCCTACAAGCTCTCATGGACTCTGCGTACATGAGGAATTAATGGTAGTGAATTGCCTATTATTAGAAGAGGATGCAGTAAATTATATAATTCTTCGTAGTTTTAAACTAGAATAATTGAAGTTGTATCTGTCATGATAAGAGAAATAGACACAAATGAGAGCATGAAAAGTGTTGGGCTGTTAAGTTTCGACAGCTGCTCAACTGGGTCATTAACCCAATTGAGTTACTGCCCTTTAAAGCAGACGGGAGGAAATATTGCCTCCTCGAGAATGAGAGAGATGGATTTCCTCCCATGTGATGCTGCCATGTGATGCTGCCATGTCCGCTGCCATGATCCTAATGTGAGCATGTGCATAACTTATAATACAGGCATATTTTTCCTATGTCCTCTCCGTTTTTCGGTTTGTGACAGTACATCGCAGTTATCCAATAGTGATTCACAAATGATGACATCACTTTGTAATAATTTTGATAGAAAGCATACGTTTGAGATGATCGCAAGTTAAACATATCTCATACAGTAACGGCGCTAGGATTTTAATTCTGGGAGGGCAAAGATGGAATGGAACATTTTAAAGTGGTGGGAATGTTGATTTTGTTTATTTTAATTTTTATTTTTAATTTTTTTTTTGCGCAAGGGTCTATTGGGCCAGCTGCGCCAACCATATGGTTATGGAGTAGAAAACTTTAAAAAAAGAAAGATATGTATGCTAAAATTATCAATAACCATGTACTAAAATCATAAAACTGTATAAACAAGTACAAAAATATTAAAAGCAGATTTATAACATAAAGCAGAAAATGCGTGGGTGGAGATGTTATCTCCAATTTTATCATCAAATAAAGTAATTTTTAAAATTTAGCGATCGAGTTTTAGTAAGGCGATGTAACAATTGTAAGCGGAAAAAATTTAGTGATAACGTGTAATTTTTTTAGCAAAGAACTATTTCATATAGAACCCTTCTCGATAATGGTCAGTATACATGACTTAAATAAATTATTTTAAAGTGAGCTGGCGCCAGGTGCTTATAGGCCATTACGGAGTCCGGAAAATCAGGGCAACCTAGGGACCCTGATAAACTATAAATAAGGTGAGGGGTGCAATTATTTTCAGCAAACCGCTCTTCCATGCTTAATGTGACTTGCCCATTATACGCTTAGAAACCAGCAGCCAGAACTCCTCTACCGTTTCGCCAATAAATTTGTAGTGTCTCATTTCCCTTGTCTTTCCATTTTCCACGTTTATTCTGTGACGTTTCCTTGGAAGTGATGTTCCAATTTCAAAAATTTAGGTTAAATTATTTTTATTAGTACAGAATATTCAGTTGTCTGCAGAAAGTTAAATGTGTTTAATGGAAACGTCTTGTTCAATTATTTATGTAATTTCAACTTCGGTGATTCATAAACGTTTAACAGAAACGTACTCAGCAAAAAGAATTAATCAAGTAACTAAACACCTTATTCGTTACCGAGGAGAATTTGTTAAAAACTAACGTTTTCGATCTATTCAATAGATCATCATCAGGCTAGAACATACGAATATGGAATACATTTACATTTATTCCATATTCGTATGTTCTAGCCTGATGATGATCTATTGCATAGATCGAAAACGTTAGTTTTTAACAAATCCTCCTCGGTAACGAATAAGGTGTTTAGTTACTTAATTGATTCATAAACATATTTTTCCTTATACACCATTATTAATTATAAATCTTATATATAAATAAGAAAATAAATTTGAAAGATTTCTTGCTGTAAGTTATTCTCATACATCATTACATTAGTAATTTCTATACTATACTAAATAAAATGGTTGTTTATAGTTTCACGGATACCTTTTCGTGACTAAAAATAAAATATTATTTACCTGAATTTATTTATGTCAACTGAATAATTTATTGTTTTGTTGTTATTTCAATTTCATTAAAATGCAGACTATAAAATTTTTCATGGAAATTTTTATTTTAAAAATAACTTTAATGTTTATGTGGGACAATCTTTGCGAAAATAATTTTCTATTTCTATAGAT